AAAAGTGGTCGGCGCGTTACATAACTCGAACGGCATGACTAAATATTCGAAGTGACCGAACTGAGTGCGGAAAGTGGTCTTCCACTCATCCCCTTCGTGTATACGGACCAGGTTTATACGCACCCCTGAGATCCAACTTGGAAAAAATAGAGGCTGATTTCAACCTCTGAAATAACTCGGGGACTAAGGGGAGAGGATAACGGTTTTTAACCGTAATTTTGTTCAGATCCCTATAGTCAGTACAGGGCCTCAGGGATTTGTCCTTTTTCTCCACGATTCTGGCCCCCACCGGTGACGTGGACGGACAGATAAATCCCTTTTGAAGGCTTTCGTCAATATATTCTTTTAATGCTCCCAACTCCCATTCAGACAAGGGAAAAATTCGTCCGAAAGGAATTTCAGATCCCGGGAGAAGGTCAATTGGACAGTCGTACGCCCTGTGCGGGGGAAGAATGTCTGCTCCCCGTGGACTAAAAACGTCAAGGTAGTGGTGGTAAACTGTAGGAACCATTTGTGCTAGCTCAGTGTCTGCGTTTACACAAAGCAGAGTCTTGGTGTCTGGTGGTGACCTGGGGTAGCAATGCTCCTGACAATAGGATGAATTAAACTGAATTGACCCAGTCCTGCAATTAATTTGGGGGTTGTGTGCACGTAGCCAAGGAAGCCCCAAAATAACTGGGAATAGTGGAGACGCAATGGCATCCAAGCGGAGGAGTTCTTGATGATGACCGGCCATCATAGTGCATATAGGGGGGGGGGGTCTCCCGATCTACCAACCCAGATTTAATTTGAGTCCCATCGGCCAAGGGGAAGTTTAGGCCGTGCTCCTTGGTCAGTAAGGGAATCTGCTGCTGAGCTGCAAAATTGAGATCAATAAAACAACTGCAGGCCCCTGAGTCAATAATGGCCGTCACCAACACGGTTCTTCCAGGGAGCTGAAATGAGATCGGTATGGCTAAATGAGAGGGTTTATCTAAACAAGCAGGAGTCATAGCAGAAGCAGTGGAAGAACACTTACTTAACTTCTCCGGGCAGGAACGTACCACATGGCCTGCTGCTCCACAGTAGAGGCAAAGGTTGTTTACCCGGTGTCTCTGGCGCTCTTCAAACGTTAGGGAGGGCCGCATCAACCCAAGTTGCATCGGTTCGGCCCCCTCCGATGGTTCTGGATTCCGAATACTGGCAGGGGATTTCGGAAAGGTCAAAACCCAAGGCAGCATCCATGTGGGCTTTAACCCTTGACTGGATCTTTCAGACCTCCGTTCCCGAAGCCTGTGGTCAATCTGAATTGCCAGAGTTATCAATCCCTCCAGGGAGCCAGGTACACCTACATTTGATAGCTCATCCTTCAGTGTTTCAGATAGGCCTAGGCGGAATTGGTGACGCAGAGCCGCGTCATTCCACTGGGTGTCCCCGCTCCCACACCTGAATTCTGAGGCATAGTCCTCTGCTGCCCTTGGAGTATCTTGACAGCTTGGGTGAGGCCCGCCAGGTGCCTCATCCAAGGAAGGCGAATGTCATCCAACGGAGAGGGACCTCTTCCAGGCTCAGTCATGGACGTATGGTTCTGTCAGGGACCGACTGACAGAAGCCTCTAGCGCCCCACAGGCCGGAATTCCTCAAGGCGCGGAATCTAAGCTCCGACCTGCTTGTTCACCAGAGCCCCTGATGGTGGGGATGGACTTGGAGCAGGTCAAAACCAGGTCGCGACCCCTGGGTACAACCAGCTGTGGTAGAGGTACTTGCCAGTGGCACGTAGCGGGTGAGAGCCTGATGTGAAGAGGTGAATTAAGCGTAGTCAGACAGGCTGGGCCGGTAACGGTGGAGGCAGAACGGTACAGAGTGGCAGGCAGAGGAATAAACGGGTCACAGGCCAGGTTCAGTAACAGGAGGTCAATATGTTCAGGAGCAAACAGAAAAATGGTCAGACAAGCCAGGAATCAGAGCAGGAGATCAGGGTCAGGCAGGGTCGGCAACAAGCAATTTCTCAGGATACAACAGGATAACAGGAGTAAGACCATACGGCATTTGAGCATTGCAAGAGCCGGTTTTAAATAGAGCACCCTGCGCTGTCATTGTTGACAAGCGCGCGCCCGTGTGCGCGAGTGCGCATGTGGCCGCAACTGCCGCTGCGGGTGCCCAGGTCCTACCGCCCACATGTTAGTGTGTCTTGGCAATCTGCGCATGTGCAGACCTACGCGCCGCGGCGAACCCTGACAGCTTCATGGAATGGGTTTCCATGGCCAAGCAGCTGCATCCAAGCCTTCCATCACCAAGTGCAATGCAAAGAGTCAGATGCAATGATGTAAAGCACACCACTACTGGACTCTAAAGCAGTGGAGACGTGTTCTCTGGAGTGACAAATCACGTTTCTCTGTCTAGCAATTTGATGGAAATGTCTGGGTTTGGTGCTTGCCAGGAGAACAGTACTTGCCTGACTGCACTGTGCCAAGTGTAAAGTTTGGTGGAGGGAGGATTATGGTGTGGGGTTGTTTTTCACAGGTTGGGCTTAGCACCTTATTTCCAATGAAGGGAACTCTTAAGGCATAAGCTTACAGTTTGGACAATTCCATGCTCCCAACTTTGTGGGAACAGTTTGGGGATGGCCCCTTCCTGTTCCAACATGACTGTGCACCATTACACAAAGCAAGGTCCTTAAAGACATCGATGAGAGAGTTTGGAGTGGAGGACCTTGTCTGGCTTGCACCTGACCTCAACCCGATAGAACACCTTTGGGATGAATTAGAATGGAGATTGTGAGCCAGGCCTTCTCGTCCGACATCAGTGCCTGACCTCACAGATGCACTTCTGCAAGAATGGTCAAACATTTCCAAAGACACACTCCTAAACCTTGTGGACAGCCCTCCCAGAAGAGTTGAAGCTGTTATAGATACAAAGGGTGGGCCACCTCAATATTGAACCATTCGAACTAAAACTGGGATGCTATTAAAGTTCGTAAAGGTAGGAGTCCCAATACTTTTGGCAATATAGTGTGTATATAAATATATATATGTATATTTTTTTTTTTTCATAAATACAGACAGAACACATAGATTTTAAAGTTAATAGGAAATACCAGAAAAAGAATTACTCTAGCACACCATGAGACCCTGCTGACAGTTCTTGCATCATAGGTCAATCTGGGCATGCAATATAACATCACAATTGATCAAGCCGACTTACTTATGGTGCTAAGATCTAAGTGTACAAGAGACCTGTGTCTCGAACAGAGCAAAGGGAGGAAAACAAGAAGAAGAGATAGAAAATGGTAGAGAAGAGGAGGAGATCCCTGACTGGGAGACCACCAGAACTATCAGCAGCACAACTGAAATTATAAGGATTGTATTAAGAAGGGTTGAAGTTTGGATGAAGTAGAAAATCAATCCAGGAGTACCACAATTTTAGAAATTTTGTGTACATGTCATGTCAGTTAATTCCTTCATGTTAAGTTAGTTTCTCAACCTGTTTTCTAACAGTGGGAACAGTAGTCTTCTTCCAGTGTCTAGGAATGAGTGCATGCTCTGCTGATGTCTTTAATGCAGGGCAAAGGGGCAGCTGCCCCAGGCCCAGGCATTATTGTGGGGCCTGAAGCAGCTGCCCCTGGAGCCCCTTGTCATAGAGTGTCTCGGTCTGGTGGAAGCGAGGAGCAGGGCAGAAGAGCTAAATTCAGTGCCAACAGTGGCGTCCTCAGGGTGCAGGCAGGATGATAGTGCCTCACTCTACATATTATCACATGGCAAGCAGGCAGCACGTGGGGAAGGTGAGCAGCATGAGGGTAGCTAAAACTGAGAGCCTGGGAGGGAGAAGACATCAATGACCCCCAAAGAGGCGAGCAGCAGCAGCCGATGCAGCATTGCCGATGCCAGATCTCTCTCTCACCCCCTTTCTCTCTCTCTCTCACCCCTCTCCTTCACCTTCTCTCCCTCTCTTTCACCCCCTCACATTCTCTCTGTTACCCCTCCTCTCTTTCACCTCTCTCTCCTACACCCCCCTCTCTCCCCCCTCTCTCTACCCCCCTATTTCACCCCCTCACTCTCTTTCAACCCTCTCTCTCTTTCTCACCCCCCTCCAATTCTTTCACCTCCCTCCCACCCCTCTTTCTCATCCCCCCATATAACCCTCCCTCTCTCTCATCCCCCTCCCACTCCTCTATCTTTTTAAATCCACCTCTCTCTCCCCCTCTCCTCCCTCCCCTCTGCCTCACCCACCTCTCTCTCTCTCTCTCAACACCCATCCCTTGCATGCAGGCAGCAGGGGGAACTGAGTGGAGCCCCCCCCGAGCATTGTCTCTGATCCCACCCACAACGCCACTGCCACTGATCATATCAACCCCTCATCACTGTTATTGATTACACCATCCCCCCCTTCCCCAGCACTGCCACTGACCCCCCCCCCCCCCACCACTGCCACTGATTCCATTCCCCCCACCACTGCCACTGATCACATTCCTCCCCCAGCCCCAGCAACCAATGGATGAGGGGTAATGATGTGCAGTATCCTCTAGCAATGAAACAGCAAGCAGAAATGATGTGTTGTATCCTCTAGCAACTAATCAGTGAGTGGTAATGTGTGTTGTAACCTTTAGCAACCAGCCAAGAAAATTTTTGCTCAGGGTCCAATCAATATTAAAGATGGCCCTGAAAGTATGACAGGAATGAGAGAAGTGCCACTTCTGGTGTTTCTGATAAGGCACAACCTGTGATCTGTTCCAGTTGGGCAGGATGTGAGGACAGGTCCACCATATATATATTATTGTACCCTAGATCAGGCCTTGAAATTTCCACTCGCCTGCTCACCAATGGCAAGTGGAAATTATGATGGGGGCGAGTGTGTCCCCCAGGGCCATCTTGCTGAGCTGGCTCGGAGCTCAGGCCGGATCTGTCATTGGCACTGGGAGCTGTCAGACTGCTCAATAGCTGAGCGCAGTGAAAGCAAAGGAAGGAGTGTGTGCTGTGCTGTCTGCCTCCCCCTAGAGTGCAGTACCCAGCTCTGTGAGTGAACAATGAAGTACTGCAACTTTTTATAGGTGCGTGTGTCTACCTAATTTCAGCTCACTCTGGTCAGATGATCCTCTTTGTCAGCCAGTGGTGGCTTCAGGGGAAAGGAGAGAGCACCTAACAGCGTGCGTGCGTGTGTGTGTACATGTGTGTGTGTCTGTGTATGCATGTACATGTGTGTATCTCTACATGTGTCTGTGTGTATGTACATGTATGTGTGTGTGTACATGTGTCTGTGTAAGTGCGTACGTACATGTGTCTGTATGTACATGTGTCTGTGTATGTATGTACATGTGTCTGTGTGTACGTACATGTGTCTGTGCGTGCATATTTTTGTGTATGTACATGTATCTGTGTATATGTGTGTCTGTATGTGCCTGTGTGTGTATACATGTGGCTGTATGTGTGTGTGTGTACATGAGTCTCTGTGTGTGTGTGTACATGTTTCTGTGTGTGTATGTGTGCGTGTGTATGTACAAGTCTGTGTATGTGTACAGGTGTCTCTGTTTGTGTGTGTTTGTTGGTGGCGAGTAACTTTTAAGGCCTGGCTAGTAGCTCAGGACTTGAAATTTTAAGCCCTGCCCTAGATTCTCTACACCTCCACCACTACTTAGATATTGATGGGATAATCATGTGTAATGTGGCCTGGCTTCAATACCATCTGAAGTGTAAAGTTCCTCTATTGGGTGTGGTTAGAAATACTTGTTTTAAAAGTTAAGAGAAAGGATTTATCCCAGTTAACCTCAGGGAGGGAATACCCCAGATCCCTCTCCCAGTCACAAGTATAAAAGGGGCATTTTGGAAATGCATGGGATAACAGGATATTGTACAACAGAGATACTACATCAGGGCAATCAGAGCCATGAATACATATGGCTTCAAAGAGCTTTAGATCCCTGTGTAGTAGTCCAGTTTTGGTAAACTTAGACTGAACTGTAAATAATGAAGTCATCTTCCCTGTTGTGGGGCATCAGGGGGAGAATTCTTGATGAGGGGTTCTAGCCCAAACCACTCATCTAATTGGGGAGTGTTCAGAATCAATCCAGCAGAGGAAACTGACAATTGAAGACATGGAGAAAATTCTCAAATTCCCAAGAATCAGTGTGAGGGGCCCAACTTGGGAAGAGGTTGAATATTTAAACTGCTGTGTCCCAAACCAGCAAAATATACGACAACAAAAATGGAAGAAATCAAGGAGATGATCAGGAAGAAGGACAAATCCAATGTAAGGACACCAACAGCAATGATAAAATGTTTTATTCGAAAAGTCACCCAAACCTTAGTCCTGGTATGGAAAACTCAATCAGGTATTCTACTGAGGGCTGCTGCTTTATAGTATAATTCAAGGTGTGGTAAGCCTGCACTTTCTTCATTTTTATGTTTAACTGGTATAACATGTCATAACAGCATCTAAGTACCCAGCCACAGGTAAGTAAGCAGCGCTGTTCTCATGGAGAGGAAGAACAGGGGAGGGGCATGTATAGACATGGTTTGAAAGACGTACAAAGGGACATCCTGCCCAGCCAGCAATATCACAGGGATGACCACTGTTGGAACCTGCACTGGGTTGAGGCCAATAATCACAAATAATTAAGCTCATATAGCTTGCTCAGCTGTATTGGAATCTGTACCTCCAAGTGTTTAATCAAACGTTGGGCCAGATGAAAGGGAAACCTGCTTTGCAAAAATCCTTTTCATGAGAAGGTAAAGAAATATTCAAACATTTTGACTTGATGGAATTTATATTAACATTTCTACAAAGTCCAAACTCTTTAAGTTTGCTCAGGATAGAGAGGAACATAGTCTTGAGGTGGCATACATAAAGTAGTAAATTGTCTGTGAAAAGTATCAATTTGTGGTATCAGCTCCCAATCTCAACCCTTTGAATCAAGTCATTAGCTCTCAAAGCGATAATTGTGGTAAATATGTTATTTTTTTTCTCTGCTTTTTTTAATACTAGGTTTGAACATTTGTTATTACCAATGGGGGCAGTGCTATTTCACATATAGAGAGATAAAATATTCTTGCTGCTCTAAAACACACATGATTTTGTTGAGAATTGATTTAGCAATCTTGGATATAATGTAATCAGCCTGTCACTCAAGTTGCAGTCTATAGTACTTTCCTTTTCCTCCTGCAGCTACTAAAGGGTTATGTAGGAAGGTAAATGGAGGGGTGGTAGAGTTAGGCCAGCAGAAAGAGTAATTAGACAATTCAGGAAGATGAGAGGGTTATGACATGCAAGTAGGGAGGGGGCTATGCTAAAGTAGTGACTCTTCCTCGAGTGGTCAATTTTTTAGTCAAAAACACTTTACAAGTGATCAATGTTTATGGAAAGGAATACAATTACAAACAAGAATTTAAGTTAAATTATTTGTTCTGTGATTTCACTTAAAATTTTTGTGGTTGAAAGGTTTTCCTTAAACAATTAAACCAAAATTTCACTTGAAAAGGGAAGTTGAGCTTTTTCTTCTCCCCCCACCTTTGGATGTTGTTTTTGTTCTGGGAGTGGGTATATCTCTGGCAGGAACCTGCTCCCAATTCTGCTCCTAGTAGAGGTTTGCCTCCCCTTGCCGGGAACTTCCTAGGATAAGTCACAGGTCCCAGGAGACTTCAGGAAGCACAAGGCATCTCCTACATTGAAGATGGTGGTGCCAGGGTCCTGAAAAACTGGTCCTTGTGAGAACAGTGCTGTATCCCTGGACTAGTAAGTGCATGTTATTAAAATTCAGCAGCTACAATATTTGTAGCTGCTGACTTTATTTTCCAGAACAATGTTCCTCTTTAAAGTTTTTTTGTCATTCTTTAAAATCCTTTCAGGCTACACTTTTTATTTGGCTGCATATAGACTAGGAATATGTCTTAATGAAGAAACAACTTCCACTCCCCAAACCTGAAGGACTTCTTCTGTGTAACACAAGTGACAGGTAAAAACCTTGCAAGCATGGATAGCATTTTGTTTTCTCCATAAAAAAAGAATAATCATTTCCCTTTCACACAGTGAGTGGTTCATTTTTGCCCCCTAGGGAATCCTTACACTGCCTGATCCTTGCACAGTTGTCTCCAGCAAAATATGAGACAACCTGGGCTTGAATTGAATAGGACATATAAAAATATAATACCTAAATATAGTATTTTAACTAAAATAACAAAATAATCCGTTCTGATTTTTTTTGCTTTTGGCTATTTAGTAAGCAAAGTATAACAATATGTACAGTACCTAATTCATAATGAACAACACAAAATACACTAGCACACAGTACTCTCAGTGCTAGATAATTTTGTGTTCATTAGCTTTTATAGATTTTTCTTCAAGCTATATGTATTTATTTAATTTATTGTGCTTTTAACTCTTAATTCCATCTCTGCCTAATCATATTGTCCATGTGCATATTTTTACTGTAGGGCAAAAAGATGGTTTCATGTAGAAAATGTTTTCTGTTTCTTTGCTTGTGTCAGATGTATTTTTCTCTTCCATATTTCTTTCAAATTCCCTTATTTAAATCCACAAGCACAGGCACAAAATAAAACTCTAAGCCCATTAATGTATTTCAGAAGTAACAATCATGGCTTTTTATGGATGCCATCAATCATTTCAAAATTACTTAGAAGTCAAAAGAAAATAAACAGCATCATTTATGTAAAATAGTGTAAAAAAAAGATTTAAGTCATAGAGAAAACATAGTTTTCTTTAACTGCTCTATGAAACAGATTTGGTGGATTAAAAATGGGGATAAAACTAGCATGATTTGAAAAATTATGCCTTCCTTCAAAATGTAGCTTTCAAAATGCATTAAGCAACTACTGCAATGGTAGAAACATTAGAATCATTTCATGCTAGGACAGATGATAGAAAGCGTCAACTCCTATAGCCTACACTTTCAATAAAAAGACTCACTCTGACACACAGATACAGTATGTGTAACATATCATACTTCACTTCATACATGTCTGCTTCCTTGTACTGCTTTACTGTGACAGAGGGTGCTGGGCTACATTTTCAGCACACATGCAATGTAGGACAACATGCAAAAGACTTGCCTGCCATGATATACATAAGTAAGGATGATAAATCCCCACCTCAGGTTGTAGGAAAAACAGGTTATTCATATGTCCCTTGGGTTTGGTTATCACACTTGAGCAGTGCAGGGAAACAAAGAAATAATCCTGTATGCTGTATTAACTGTGGGAAACATACTGCTAACAATGCATTCTTCCTATTAAAAATGTAATGGAATGTGACTTTAATAAACTGCACAATATCTCTACTAACGGTATATACCACTTTGCATATAGTAATACTTTTTTTTGCAAAGCGCAGTATGTTTACTATAAATTTACATTTGTGCATTTAATTTCCTATTTTCTTTTTCTTTGAGGGAAGTACAAAGCCAAAAAATACAGATTTTGATTTTTGTGCACTTTTTTGCACATTACAATTAAAGTGATTCTAAAGGCACATTCTTTTTTAAATAACAAACATGTTATTGCTCAGTGTAATGGTTTTGCAGTTTCTGGAGTTCCCTGCCAATGCTCCTGGCCCCACCCCCCTACTGAGTGCATCATTAGCAAGTGGCTTGCTATGAGGCATTTGTGCTTGCTTGCTTCCGAGCTGGATCTGTGTGGGTGTCCATTAAACATGGCTTTGCCCTCTCCCCTCACCTGCTGTGATTGACAGCAAGAGCCAATGGCTTCTGCTGCTTCCTGTCCAATGAGGAGACAGAGAGTCAAGAGAGCTGCTGCTTTTGTGCATGTCACTGGAAAGAGATCAGCCTTAGGCAGTGGTATAGCATGGGGGGGGGGGGATTGTTGGCTAGCCTGTGGGTGATTGTGGTTGGTGCAACCCCTTGCTCTCACCTTGTTTTCTGGACCTAACCGCTTGGCCTCCGCTCCGGATCTCCTCCCCATCACAGCAGAGCATGGGAGACAAAAAGAGCCTAACCAGGAGAGTGGTGTTGGGGAACATGGCCGGCAGTCTGGGGAGGAAGTGTGGTGGAGCAGCCAGTGGAGCAGAAAAATTGGTATCCCGTGACCATGAAAATCTATATCCTCAGCAGCAACTGCGCATGTTCCAGATTCATGCAAAACAAGCTGAGCTGCTGGAGCCAAAGAGCTACCTGAATTCAATTAACCCCTTACATGCCAAGCTCCCTTACATATTCCCCCCTCTCATCTGTCCACCTGGCTCCATCCTCCCCTCCACCTGGCTGCATCCTACCCTCCACTTGGCTACATCCCACTCACCTCTGTTCACCTGCCTCCATCATCTTCCCTTCCACATGGCTGCATCCCTTCCTCTCTTATGCCCACTTGGCTCCATCCTCCTCTCCATCTAGCTGAATCATTCCTCTTCTCTGTCCACCTGGCTCCGTCCTCCCCTCCACCTGGCTGCATTACCCTCTTCTATGTCCACCTACTTCCATTCTCCCCTCCACCTGGCTGCACCCCCTCCTCTCTTCTGTCCACCTGATTCCATCATCCCCTCCACCTG